CAATAATACTTCAGTAAATATGTCAACATTTTAAAAAACAAAATATTGAGGTATCATTTTCCACTCCTAATCAAATATTGATGAACAGGTAGAAAAATGAGATTTCTCATATATTGTAGTGGGAGTATAAGTTGCTGCAAAAAACATGGAGGACAGTCTGGCAAATCTAACTAAAGTCACAAATCCTGCATATCCACAGTTCATCAATTCTACTCTTAGTGATATTTCTTCTCAAAATTCTTGTCTATACTTCAGGCAGAAATTATGGACAAAAATACTTCCATATTGTAATAATACAATTAAAATAAACCATAACATGCAGAACAAACAATATATTGTATAAGAATTCATATACATGTAGTAAAATTAAAAACACTCACATGGGAATGATCTGTAAAAAATGAATATAAAAATTAACCCTGGGAATAAGTGGAAGGGATGTGACTGGGGAGGATTATATAGAATTTTCAGTATTTGTAAGTTCTTATTTCCTAAGTGGGTAATAAGTAAATTGGTACCTATTATTTTATCCTTTGTACCTGTGTATTTGTGAAGTATCTCTAATATACAAGGTGGTGCTATCCATATTTATATTTCACAAATATGAATAATTTACAGCAGAAAGGCTAAGGAGTTTGCCCACAATCTCATAACTAGTGAATGGGAACTTCAGTCTAGTCTAGTCTAGTCTTTCTTCAGGTCCAGTGATCACTTACACCACTGATTCCATCTTACCATTCAGATGAAAGAGAGGCTAAGGACTCTCGTGCATATGTGATCACAGAAAGATGGTAATTTGATTTTCATCATCATAAGGCATTAGAATTCCTACTTAGGAAAAAGATAAATAAAACAGATGAAAGAGCATTCATAAGCATAGTCTGGTAAATGGGTATTTAAAGAATAATGGAGAAACTCCTCCTATGGAAATCTGAACTGCCAGGAGCTTATGGGAGCAGGAAGTGGAATACAAGACAGACGCATGGATAATAATAAAGATGTTTGATTAAAAAAATAAGAGACGATGCAGTTAAGCAAAGGAGACTTCCCCATCATTATGTGGAGATTTTTTTAATGGGATATGTAATGGAAAATTTATATTAAAAACATTCCCTTTCTGCTGCTGAAAATAAATTAAGTAATTTCTTAGGTTTATACCTCAAAGAAACTGTTGGTGGCATTTATTAAAATGGCCTTTCCAAACTAAATTTGTCAAGACACAAATAGGTATTATTTAGTCTTCCATGTGTATAAACAGGTATTTAGATGTGCATAATAGGAATTAACATAAAATAAACAGCTGTAACATACAAATGTATATCATTTAGCTAAGCATTATATTAGGTTGAACACATTTAAATTTTGACAGAAATGTCACCATAGAATAGGTCATATTATTTGATTAAGTTTGTTTTATAAACTTCAGTTAAGTTTTGATCAGAAAATATATTCAGTTCAGATATTAAGATCAGAATCAGAGGAATACAATCTATAATGCTGACCGCAGCCATCACAAGTCTATTTATTCCTTCAATATAAATATTAGGGATATTTATCAGTAGACATATATTAGAATAGATAAGTGCCAGGTACTACCTAAGCTTTAGTTATATAGAGATGCCCCCTGCACTTAATGACAAATATTAAGTAAATTATCAAAATACTCTTATGAATGTTATAATAACAGTATATTTAAAATGTTTCTGAGAAAGGAGAGGAACACAGGCCAGGAGAGGCAGAAATAACTTCACAGTTGTCATTATAAATAAATGGGATACTGCCTGGGAAAGTATTTTCAAACATTAAAGATTCATGCTATTTAAGAAATTATTATTGTTATTATAACACCCCCATCTCGATTCTCAATAAAGAGGACATTTCACAGCATGATACAATTTTGTACATGTAAGCATTCAAATATTTCATGGACTACAAAACTCTTCATCTTTTCAAAGATTTCTTTTTTCAGGAAAAAGTCTACTTACAAGTAAACATCTCACCCATGAAATATAGTATGGTTAATATTTTACCAATGGTAGTTTCTGCATAATTAATTTCCTAACCAGCTTATCTTTCTTTCTAAATATTATTGGAAAATAGAATAATGGCCTCCTAAAGATGTCCATGTTCTAATCTCTGGTTATGAGTATGTTAGGTTACATGGCAAAAAATAATTAAATTAGCAGGTAGGAATTAAGATTGTTAATCAGCTGACCTGATTCTGCATTTCCTAGGTGAGCCGAGTGTAATTACATGGGCTCTTAAATGTGGAAGACAGAGGCAGAAACATCAATCAGAATGATATGATGTGAGAATATAATGAAAGACCATTATAACTGGGTTGAAGATGGCAGAAGGGGCCACCAGCCAAAGAATGCAGCTGGATAAGGCAAAGAAGTGGATTTTTCCCTAGTGCTTTCAGAAAGGAACATAGTTCTGCCTGATTTTAGCTTATTGAGACTATTTTTGTCTTCTGACTTTAGAATCATTAAAGTAATATATTGGGATTGTTTTAAGCCACTAATTTTGTGGTAAGTTTTTACAGAAGGAATAGAAAACTTACAATTAACACTTATTTATTCTCAGAAAAACATGTTGTATGAAGACTTTATGGAAAACTGCAGTCACCACTACGATAGTTTGCTCTTACTGCATTTGCTACAAATGTAGTGGCTTAGAACAACATCCATTTGTTAGGTCACAGTTCTGTAGGTCAGAATGATGGGCAGGCTAAGCTGGGTTCTATGCTCAGGATCTCACATGGCTGAAATCAAAATCAAGCTATTGGCCAGCTTGGTCTCTTACCTGGAAACCCCGAGAAACAGTCAGTTCCAGGTTCATTTCAGCTTCTCAGCAGATTCACTTCCTTGTTGCTATGGGCTGAGGTCTCCATTTCCTTGTGGGGTATAACTGCGGGCCTCTCTCAGCAGCCAAGGCTGCCTGAGTTCCTTCTCATGTGGCCCACTTCAAGCCGGTAATGGTGCATCAACTCTTTCTTGTGCTTCAAACCTCTCTCACTTCCACTCCCATCACCAGGTGGAGAAAGTTCTCTACTTTTAATGCCTCATGTGATTAGTTCAGACCAAACTGGATAACCTCTGGATCTTATGGTCACAAAAGATAATCATGAGAGTGGTCTCTCACCATATTCAGAGGTTTGGATAATTAGAGTGGGACATATATGGAAGTCCATTTTAGAAATCCCTACCATAACTATTCAATTCACTCTTACATTTTTAATACACTTAAATATTAATGTATTTACATATATGGCTTGCTTATATAGTGCCCTGCATTTTGATGTATTTCTTTCATGGAGACATATTTACAGTTAAAGGTAGGGAACTCCCAAGCACAGGAATAATATACTGTATTCACTCTTAATTGATACTATATTAGAGCTAAGAGTACAGAAATAAATAGAGTTGTCAAGAAAGAGTCATTTGAAAAAACTGGAGTAAGTACAGACAGGTTTGAATATTAAAAATCTGGTGATATGGATATAATACTTGCCTGACATAAAGGCTGTGGAGCCATGGATAAGAACCTTGCAACTTTAATCATGTTTATTAGAGAATTATTTCTGAATGCATTCAAAAATCGTTCAGTGAGCACCAGTTATGTACTAAAATGAGGGAAAATCAAACAATAAATTAGCCTACCTACCAAAAGAAAATTTTGTAGGGTTAAAAGAAATAACTTAGGTAAAAATGTTTACAAAGCTATGTACTATTCAAATATGAATTATTAAAGTTACTAGTGCATGCTTTTGTCATCTTCTATGTCCACATGATCCAGCAGAGAGCTAATCCTGTAACAGACGCTCAATGAAAACACTGATAACCACTGTCATCAGTAAGTAAATATATGAATTATATTTCATTTCTCTTTTTAGCTATTAAACTTTTCTCAAGGAAGCCAATACATTCCCTATTTCTCACTTCTTCCTTCATCCATTTTCTAACTGATTTGCCCATAGGTGGCACAGAACTTGGAAAATCAAACAATAAATTAGCCTACCTACCAAAAGAAAATTTTGTAGGGTTAAATGAAATAACTTAGGTCTAAATGTTTACAAAGCTATGTACTATTCAAATATGAATTATTAAAGTTACTAGTGCATGCTTTTGTCATCTTCTATGTCCACATGATCCAGCAGAGAGCTAATCCTGTAACAGGCGCTCAATGAAAACACTGATAACCACTGTCATCAGTAAGTAAATATATGAATTATATTTCATTTCTCTTTTTAGCTATTAAACTTTTCTCAAGGAAGCCAATACATTCCCTATTTCTCACTTCTTCCTTCTTCCATTTCTAACTGATTTGCCCATAGGTGGCACAGAACTTTAGTTTTACATATACCTGAATGTTTCCTGCTGTAGGAAACCCTCTAGCTAGCTGAGGTGATTCAAGGCCAGACATGGGTCGCAGATGCCACACCACCAATGAGAACTGGCTGAACTTGCCACAGTCAGCTAGGGAAGTTCCCTGTAGTAGCTGACTAATAGACTGTAGCATGGAAAGGGAAAATTTAAAATGCTACTCCAAAAATTGGCTGCCATGCTCAAGGCACCAGCAGAGCACCTTAGAAGCCACTCCAAATCTACTGACCAACAGGCTCATTAATGAAGTGCCGGAAAATGACATTAGCTGGAGGCAGTCACAGTTGGGGCTCTTAAATTTACTGTGCATAAGAATTATCTAGGTTTGCTTGTTAAAAATACATACTCCAGAGGTACAACCTGAGAAGTTCTGCTTTTAAAGATCTTCGGGAGCCAAAAGTATGTGGAAACCTCAGAATCCGTACCTTTTAATAAAATACTCTAGGGAATTCTAAAATATAATGACAAATTTAAAATATTTATATTACCACACAAAACCAATATGGTATTACATATCAACTAATCTTTAATAAAAAACATTTTATTACTTATTTAGCTCACATGACCAACATTTCACACACACAAAAAAAATATTTGAGATCATGGTCTTTCTAAGTCGGTCTAGATGTGAATTCCAGCATCTGATTTGCTGTGTGATGTCTTGAATGAGTTATTAAAATTCTCTGCATCTCAGAAGTCTCATCTGTAAAGGGAAGAGTCTCATTGTAACTAACAGGAATGTGGAGGGGATTAACATCTTAGCTATTTTAGTTATTATTATTGTCATCATTATCCTCCAGGAAGCCTTCACAGTGGTATGTTTAAAATACCAGGTACCAGGGGCACAAGTGACTCTTTTTGAATATTTCTAAACCAAATGATTACAAGACTCTTGCTGCATCCCTGTGGTACACTCATACTAACAAAGCCCCTTTTCATATTCTGCAATAATATACAGTCTAGGAACATAAAGAACAATACGATTGTGTGAGAATAAAGTAAACCAAAGCTATATGATGAGGCAATAACTTTTGCCAAAGAATATCAGCCATCACCCTTGGGCTATCACTTCTGTAAGTATGGCTTCATGGACTAAAACATTTCGATTAAAATAGAGTAATAGGATTTTATTTTTTCACATCACTCAGAAGCAGGGACAAGGAGAGAAAGAGAACAGGCAAATCTTTCATATTCACGTTTGCTAGTTTTGTCCCCCTGAAATACGCTTCTCATTAAGACGCTTAATATTCCTTATGTACCAGATTCTTCACATACATTATGCTAATTTTTATAAACTAAGAAAAAAAGACATATACAAATGAATCCTTACAATATGAGGGACATATTTTTAGTTAGAAGAGATTACACAGACTAAAATTTGAATTAATAGCTCTCGGAGCTGGGGCCTCCTCAGTGTCCCTGTCCCTTTCCTGGCAGGAGGGAATCTCTAAGGAAACAGGCCCAGGATGGTCACTTGCCCCTCCACCAGAGGTAGAGGGTTATTTCCTGATGTCTGCCTGCAGCTGCAGTAGGTGTCTTCTGTGCCTGAGGGGAACAGGGTCTGCGGCCTTTCCCCAAGGGTTTAAGACTTGTTCCATGGGGAAGCCGGGGCTCAGGATGGCAGTTCCCCTGCTGTGAATGGCACAGTTGCAGCTCTGCCTCAGGCCTGGGCCAAGGGGAGGCCCTTTGTAGGGTCTTTCTCTACCCTCATTCTTTCTCATGAGTATTTGTTGAGATTGTAGAAAAGAGAATACAAGTAGGTGATAATTCCCACCACGTTTATTCCCACGAATGGTTCTCTAGTCTCATTCTAGCCCATACTCATCTTTAAGCAATGTACTGAAAACCTTATGTGAGTTCTTTCATGACCCTTTATGTCTGCCCCAGGCCAGCGAGTATTTACATCCCATCTGACCAGCTTGACTAAATTTTAGACAGGCTTCCTGCTGACTCTAGACCCCTGAGCTCTTATTTCTTAGAGCATTTACTTTAGAAAACTTATAACTCCAAACTGTTTCTGTCCCTTTGAGATGTAAATCTTTTGAAAAGTCTCCTGCCAATTTTACAACCCAAGAACGTCTTTCTCAAGGAAACTGGCAGCCCCCGTTTTGGAGTGCAATCCAGAATGACAGCATCCACATCTTCCAGTCTCAGGGAGAGGGTAGGAGGCTAACTTCAGGGGATGTTTTGTTACAAGTTGCAAAGCCACTTCCTGTCTTAAAGATATGAGAAGCTTAATTTTCCTTTAGATAATGCCAATTAGCAGGTAGCCTATGACTTCACATCACTTCGTGTGACCTAGCCTATGACAGATTTCCCCCTGACATCCTCTCACACTTAGCCACCAGCTTACCCCAGCACTTACACATCCTCCTGCACTTGGCTTTTATGAAGATGAGCTTAGACTGAGTCCTGACCTCTTTCTTTTACTGTTATGTCTGTATTAGAGACATCCTTGCCTGTTTCACTTTGTCTAGTGTTGTCTTTTACTAATGAGGTTTAATTATTGTAGATTCACTTGAAATTGTAAGCCATAATATAGATACCCTGTGTGTTTTTCATAGCTTTTGGTTCTTCATGTTTTCCTTTTCTTTGCTGAGATTTTCTATTTTTCATTTGTTTCACACATTTCATAATTACTGAAGCATTTTTATTATGACTACTTTTAAATCTTTGGTAATTCTGTCATTTTTTCATCACAGTGTTGGCATCTATTGGTTGTCTTTTTCAATCAGGGTGAGACCTTTTTCTTTCTTGATATGAGTGACTTTCAATTGAAATCTGAATAGTTTGGGCATTACATTATGAGTTGCTGGCCTTTATTTAAACCTTTCGTTTTGGCTGGCTTTTTCTAACACTCCTCTATGCAGAGGGGAAGGGAGGGCACACTGTCTTGATACCTCCAGACAGTAGCAGAAATCCAGGCTCCCTACTCAGCCCCTTATGGCAGTTGCTGGGGAGAGGACCTCTTGTTGCCGCTGGGTGGTGTGGTTTTTACTGCCCACTGGGTCTTCTCTGATATTTCCTGGCTGGGAAACATAGCAGTGCCTCATCACTGCTTCCTCCAGGGCCTCCACTTTTACTACAGAGTAGAGAGCAGCTTCCTTAATGCTGGGCAGTGAAGAAAGTCCTCTGACTGTTCAGCGGACCTCTGCCTGTACTTCCCCAGTACGGAGAGGATGGGCTGCTTCATACTGGAAGGTGGCGTCAAATTTTTGGCTTCCCTGTGATCTCTGCTGAACCTGTAACACCGGGTAGAGTAGGCTTCTGTACAGCCTAACCAGAATGAAAGTCCTGGCTCCCTATTGGCCTCCTCTGTCACCACCCCATCAGGAGGAGGGAGTCGTAGTATCAAATATACTTCAAAGTAGAAACAGTATGGTACTGGCATAAAGATGGACATATTTATCAATAAAAAAATGGAGAACCCAGGAAAAATCCACAAACATGCAGTTAGCCTGTCTTAGACAAGGGTGCCCAAAATACACAAATGGGGAAAGGATGTCCTCTTCAACAAACGGTCTTAGGAAAACTAGATACTCACTTGCCAAAGAGTGTAATTGGGTTTTTATTTTACATCACACACAAAAATAAAGTATAAGTGGATTAAAGACCTGAATATAAGACCTGAAACAATAAAAGCCCTAGAAGAGCATATAGGGGGAAAGCTTCATGATATTGATCTTGGCAATGACTTCATTTTGGTTATGACACCAAAAGTACAGGCAACACAACAGAAAATGAAGTGGGACTACATCGAGTAAAAAAGTTTCTACATAGCAAAATAAATAATTGACGAACTGAAAAGGCAACCTAGGGAATGGGACAAAGTATTTGCAAACCACATATCTGGTTGAGGTTAATCTCCAAGAAATACAAGGAACTTCTACAATTCAATAGCTAATAAACAAATCATATGGTTAAAAAAATGGGCTAAGTACTCGGATAGATATTTCTCCAAAGAAGATGTACAAAAGACATATGAAAAGGTGCTCAATATCACTAATCAATGGGAATATACAAATCAAAACTACAACAAGATATCACTTCATACCTGTTGAGGATGCATATCATTAAAAGAGAAAAGATAACAAACGTTGACAAGGATGTAGAGAAATTAGAATTTTTGCACAGTGTTGGTAGAAATGCAAAATGATACAGCTGTATAGAAACAGTGTGAGGTTCCCCTCAAAATTAAATACAGAACTACCATATGATCCAGCAATCTCACTTCTGGTATTTAATTCAAAAGAATTAAACTCAGAATCTCAAAATGTTAGCATTCCTCTGTTCATTATAGCACTATTCATAATAACCAAGATACGGAAATGACCTAAATGTCCACTGAATGGATGAGGATAAGGAAAATGTGTTATATACACAAAATGGATTCTTCAACCTTAGAAAAGAAGGAAATTTTGCAATATGCGACAACAGGGATGAACCTGAGGACATTAGGCTAATTGACATACGTAAGCACAGAAAGACAGATGCCACCTGATTCCACCTACATGACATATCTAAGAGTCCAATTCATAGAATCAAAGAATGGAATGGAGATTTCAGGGATTGGGAAGAGAGAGGAGTAGGGATTTACTAATCAACAAGCATATCATTTCAGTTATGCAAGATGAATTAAGTTCTAGAGATCTGCTGTATAACATAGTACCTAAAGTCAACAATACTGTTTTGTATGCTTCAAATTTAGTTTAGAGGGAAGATATCATGTTAAATAGTCTTACCACAATAAAACAAAAATTTTTTTCAAGTTATGATGAAAATGTAGCATCTTAATTGAGGTATGCTCAGTGTAAAATCATTCTTGATTTTGAAGATTACATACTTAAAAAAATATACAATATTTCATAAATAACTACTTTAATAATAGCTACATATTGAAAATTATAGGCATATTCATTTAAATAGAATACTTCATTGAAATATAAAAAAGAAATTTCGAAAATTAAATAATAAAACAACCAATAAAATATGAGCAAAATGAGTCAGCTATTTCTCAACACGAGATGTATAAATGGTTACTAAATGCATGGAAACATTCTCAAAAACATTTTTATTCATCAGAGACATGCAAATTAAATCTACAGCATGATAATACCACACACCAATAAAAACGGCTAAAATTAAGCACAGAAAACAACAATTCCTGACAAGGCAATGGAATGAGTAGAACTCTCATTCATTCCTGTGGAAATGTAAAATGATATCCCTACTTTGGACACTGATTTACCAGCTTCTTATAAAGTCACACATGCATCTACCACATGACTCAGCAATTCCAAGACTAGATATTTACCCTAAAGAAATTAAAATACAAAATATGGAACATTCTATGAAAAGATTTCATAGTAGCTTTATTCATAACTGCCAAAAATTAGAAATCACCCAAATATTCATCAACATCTGAACATTTCCTAAGATAATATACAACAAGGTAATTCTAAGAGATGAAAGGAAATAAACTGTGGATACACAGAACAAGATAAATGACAAAACCTTTATACTGGGTGAAAGCAACCAAACCAAAAATAGTTCATACTGTCGGATTCCATTTACTTGAAACCCTACACCAGGCAAAACTATTGCCAAATGGCAGAAAGAAGACCAATAGTGGCCCAAGGGAACATTCTGGGTGATGTAAATATTCTGTCTGTTGATGGGGTTGTGATTATAGGAGAGAATATT